CAAGAATTTACTGTCGACATAGATGAAGACATACAAGAAAAAAAATGGAAACATAATGTTTCTGAGAGAAGATATGATGGAGATGAAGAGAGAGAAAGGAAAAATTTCCTTCAGAAAGAAAAGGGGAAAACCCCTTCGAGAGCAAGAAGATATCAGTGATGAAACACAAGTAGCCAAACTACCAAGTAGAAGAACATTTGCACATTAATTGTCACCATAGGTAGAAAAGGAATACATTCACCGTAAAAAGGGGGAAAAAAGGGGAAAAAGAGGGAAAAAAGGTTGAGAAGAAGAAAGAGAATGACAGATACTGAGAGAAACAGAAGCAAATTACAAAAGCATATACATTGCATTTTTTTTCAGAAAAAAAAATAGAGGAAACTAATTTGAAAGCGAACAAAATAAAAAACCAAGAAACCAAAAGTATGAAATACAAAAAATTGTAGAAATACTAAAAATTAATCTTTCAGATGGAAGAACATTTGCACATTAGTGGTTAAAATAAAGAGATTAAAGAGGGATACATTCTAACAAAAAAATGAAACAAGCGCATGAGCTAACCACTACAAAACATTTCCCGAAAAAGAAAAATGGTGGCAAAACTTGAGGACACATTGTGCATAACCTCGATTTTTGCAACAAAAGACCTAAATTTGATTTGTGTGAAAAGGAAGCAAAATCCATATCCCCTCCTAACAAAGTTCCTGCCACAAAATCAACAAAATCCATAGTTTTCTTGCCGACATTGCAATGTTTGTACTGACATCTGCAATAGACACTACACATATAGACACCGTGCCTGCAGATGGGTTGCCGCCTCGTAAGACATAACTGTCGCAATCCCCGATGATGAACGACATCGTAACGAGGCGAGGGTCGTATTTTTAGCGAGCCAGCGTGCAAATTTGAGGGGAGCTTGAGCTGAAAGATACACTATGCAAACAACTTCGTCAGGTATGGAACAGGAGAAAATAAAATTAAGGAGGCATAAAGCTTTTATTTCCATCATTTCGGCGGGGGGGGGGGGGGAGGGGTCACTCTCGCAGATGCATCATCAATCAATCTCCAACCTGAAGAGGCCGATGCTTAAAGATGCCTTCAAAATTAAATTTGGAGCATGTGGAAAAAAGCTGCACGGCGGGCGTCTAAAGTCAACACTTGCTATTCTTTCATCTGTTCAAAGTAAACTTAAGCCGTTACGTTTTCCTCCGGCGGCGGCAGGCAGCATCAAGTGTTTTTGAAACGAGGAACTGTTTTGACATGAAAAAGATTCTATAAACATCCAAAATAGAGGGAGACTTTTTGTTCCAAATTCTGTACGACACTGTGCAAATCCCGAAGGACTCATCAATTGTGTAACTAGAGAAGAAAATCATTCTAAAGAAAGTAGTGGATGGAAGCCTTGAAAATTTATGAAGTATCTATTTCTTTATAATAATGTACATTGAATGCAGGGTAGAAGTGAAGTCAGGCAGATATATACAAAGAAATGAGTGATGGCCTACGAGTGTTGTCATTTCCTTTGGAAATCATGGACAGAATAGAATGAACAACATGTGTATCTTTATAGATGAACATGAAACAATATGAGAATTTTAACGATTTCCCATAATTTGTTTTTGTTCATACCCAGAACTTCCATTAATTAAAAATCGGGGTCTTTGTTTTATGATTTAAAAATAATCTATTCAAAGTCTTCTGGCCCCTTTAAAAATATTTCACAAATACGTTTTATTTTACCTGACTGCTAAGAAAGCATCAATGCTTGTTAATACGCAACCAGAGGACCAACGGCTTTAGATCCTCTCCGACGGACCTGGTAATGACATGCTATTATATCTCCTTATTCATTATGGAAAAACAATTTCTTAAAGATACACTTAATCTATACACAGGGGTATAAAATAAACATTGTTTTTAGCAAACCAGTGAGAATGAACAAATGCAAAGGCTTTCAACAAATCAGCTTAGGAGAAATTTTAATAACCTATTGTATATCCAACAGAAATCGTATATCTGTAAAGCGCTTAGAGACGTCAGATATGTATTAAGCGCTAAATAAAAGCTGAATATTATTATTATATTCCGATTACTTAATTATGTCATTGTGATCTTCACACATTTGGATAGATGATGGATGAGGTTAATGAAATTGCATTCGGTCGATTTTGAAACTTTGAAATCGTTGAAGTCTTTGAAATCATGTTTCCTGCATTAAGCTGTATGGATGAAAGAATCCGATAGTGTGAGGGTTAAGGACTTTGCATTCCAAACTACATTATACCTTCATGTCCTACAGATGTTTCCTTTCCCATCGGGGGTGACTGGAGAGTCAACATTGTCGGACAGAAAGACGAACAATGACCGTATATGTATGGCAAAAGGCGCCTAATGACACATCTGAGCAAACAGAATTCATTTTAGCGCTGACTGCTTGAGCCAATGAGTCCCAGGCCAGTCACATTATCTTGCAGGCAATCCTGAAAGTGTGGCCGATGTAAAATTTGTCAGAACATTTTTTTTTTCTTCTTCCGAAGTCCTTTTGTAACATTTTTGAGACTTAGAAAAGAGATAGTTTGATATAGGTCAAAATTTTCACTAAGCTACATATGTATGTACACTTTTGAAACCAGTAAAGCAGTAAGAATAGTTACAAGCAACCCTGTAGAAATGTAATTGTTTGAATCTCTTTTCTCATTTCATTTTGAAGGTGTTTGAGAAACGGAACAGAGCTAGGTTGCATAGGTCCTGTCCAAATTTATCATGCTATATGCATATTTTTTAAGCCAGCTAAGAAATAAGACTTGTTCAGCCATCAAGTTATTTCACTATTGGGTTTTTTTAACTTTTACCTTGGACCCAACACTACTTAATCTAACCCTAACACTCAACAAACCCTAGGCCTGCCTTCATCAGCTCGAGTTTGCCAAATAACCCGCTATTTTCAGATTTGGGACATTATCCCGAAGCTCTAAATTGCGTCTTCACCAGATCAATACGCTCATCACAAACTAGCTTGGACAGGCGCAAATAGGGCGATATTTTGGAAACAAGACCAAGATTTCTCAACCAAATATCCCCCTAATTGCAACTGCGGGCTGATGAAGACGCAAATTAACTGGTTAATTTGCAATCGGGATAGTTACAACAGTGGGTTATTTGGCAAACTCAAGCTGATGAAGACAGGCCTCATGTAACTTAATCACAACCCTTACCCTATATCTTTGAGAGCATAAAGCCTAAAACAAATGTCACCGGAGAAATGTCACCAAAGCAAATGTCGGATCAACGCCTGCAGTGTACCATACTAAAAGGTAGGCCCTTGACATAGTGCCCTCTCCGATGCCAGATACCATTACCATACAGGCTCCAAAATTTATTCTCTTCATCACAGACACTCGTGGAACTGTTTCTCATACGATTCTTGGCCAAGGCCTTAATCAAACGCGACACATGCCAGAAAGATAATGGCTATGAAATGTGAACTCTACAAGATGGGACTATTTTTACGCCTGGCAAAACTGGAGCGACATACTTTTTCATCTTTTTGTATATATTATTGTAATTTGTTCAGCCTACCGAGGATATTGCTGGGCGCTTATTGTTCTTTCAATCCAATGTTTGTTAAGATCAATTACTGCTCTGACATCCTACTAAAAGGTTTTAGATCTTGTGCCTGCCTGAATGCAAGGATTGCAAGCATATCTGTTCGCCCCTGGAAGCGCTATCTCTCTAGTCCATTTGAGAGCTTATTAGAAGTTTCTTCTTTCATCAGATGCATTCCCAAGATATTTTTTTTTTACAATCATATAATTTTTAAATCTAAGTTATAATTTTGGTGCATTCTCTACCCCTTTCCCTCAAAGAAGTTCACCGTTTTAAAGATTTTTATTTACCAGTAACCAATATCAAGGTACCAAGAACCAAGTCAGATGGACGAGACTGACATCAGACTGACAACAGACTTGATAAACGATTACATTTATACCCCAAATGATCAAGATTTGGTCGGTTTGGAGTCAGTGTTGAGTCAGATTGGTGATGTGACTGAGGTTTAAGCTGCTGTTCAAATTTGTTTTCTTCTTCTCTTCAGTGACATGTAAAGAATATATTACATGAATGAAAGGTGAAATATAATTCACATCCAGGCCAGGATATAAATTCCCGTAAATAACCTGCTTCCAGAATAATCAAATGAAATCATTACGCAATAAGCTTTTTTGTTTTTAAATGCTTCTTTTTTTAATGATTTTCCATCATGTGAGAACAGGCCTGTTATTTGAGAATGATGCGAACATCTGAAGCTCATGAGAATGGACTATTACAAAAACAGTCTCCTCTGAGAAAGACAATTAATCAACCCAGAGAAGTAGCGTATCTACTCCACTTTATGAGCAACCTGTGAATATCACTCAAACGTTTCTATCGGGATGGCAGATCCAGGACTTTGTGTGTGCGTGTTGTAATCGTGCACTTAAGGCGTCATGGTGTAGTGGATACGTCACCGGGCTATGGATGGCATGATTTGCGGTAAAAGTTCTATTTTTAATTTATATGAAAAGCATAAGTTTCATACTAGCTTGGGGGGGGGGTTCAAGTGATATGCATAAAATATTATTGAATTTAAAAAAAAAACTCTTGTTAGATCTAACTTTCTGAATTTTTATTCAAACTCACTAGGTGTTGCTGGTTTACTTATTGAATGAAAGCAGTACCGGTACTTTTTTTTTTTTTTTACAGAATATGAGTTCAAGTGATATGCATAAAATATTATTGAATTTTAAAAAAAAACTCTTGTTACATCTAACTTTCTGAATTTTTATTCAAACTCACTAGGTGTTGCTGGTTTACTTATTGAATGAAAGCAGTACCGGTACTTTTTTTTAACAGAATATGATTAAGGAAATATTAAATATAGCCGGGAAAAAATCTCACTGAATAAAGGAATATTTATGTTTTCAAATCTCAAAAATTCCTCTTCTACTTCCACATCAATTTACCTTTTCAATTGTTGCCAATTTGAGTGAGTCCGTGTAATACCAACAATCCCTCGTGCACCTGTGCATCCACCTGTAAATTGGAAGAGAAACAAATATTTCAAAATAATATTTTCCAGTCATGAAAGATTTTGAATTTAAAGCACACACAATTTTTTCAACAGAAAGACGCTTTCAAAACGCTTTGCAACAGCCAGCTTGGATGTAAAATCTAGAAAATATATGCATAGATTTTGATACAAGTGTTATAATGACAATAATTTATGACTGAAAATGAAATTCTATCGATTTGATTAAAAAAAATAAGAAGTTCAAGAATACTTTCTTAATTTTGTTCCATTTCAACAAAAACAAAGTTTTTTTTTGTATGATTTTTCAGAGGGGTTTAGATATTTGTGGAAAAACTTGTACTGTAAAAATTCCGATGTCAGTGAGTTATGATTGGTTTTCTTTTATATTGTAAATAAACTAACAGACAGAGAGAGAAAACAACATGAATTGTGAGATACAAAAAGAGATAAACTGATCATTTTGAAAATAATAATTCAAATTCAAATTTCAAAAGAAGAATGTATTTCTCACAGTTCTCAGCATTGTATAATATCTACAGTAATATGGTCAAACAGAAAAGATATAAGAGAGAGAGAGGGGGGAAGGGAGAGAGATGGAGAGAGAGACAGATTAGAGAGAGAGAGAGAGAGAGAGAGAGAGAGAGATGAAAGAGAGAGAGAGAGAGAGAGAGAGAGAGAGAGAGAGAGAGAGAGATGAGAGAGAGGGTGAAATGGACATATCCTTCTTAGATATAGAAACTTTCAAAAAGAAAGAGGCAGACAGGGAGACAGGAGAGGGAATGAGAAAAAATGAGACAAAGCGAGCATCATACTGACAGAGACGCATCGGAGGGGGGGGGGGGGGGGGGGGTGGAGAAAAAAGACAAAAATTAGGTTATAAATATAATCCCCCTGTCATGGGACCAATGTTATGAGTTTAACCCATTTAATACTATCTAATAAGAGGATAAAAAATGTCTTCAAATCCCCAATCTGGACCAGCTTATCTCGCTCCAACTATCAAGATCCCAGAGCATCGCTCCCACCAACAAAGGCCAAAGAGCTACCAGTCACATTGAGCAGAGCAAAGCACTTTTGGTATCATTCAACATTTTCAACTTAAATAAAGAAGAAAATTTTAGGACTAAGTATTGATTGAGTGCTCAGACTCTTGCCCTGTACTCTTGTCATTGTCAATGCATCAAGAACCATATTTGATTAGAACACATATATTTTTTTTGTTTTCTTTTATTATTCATTTATTCTTGATTTGTGAGATGAAAAAACCCTGATCAGCACGAATGTTATTCCTTTACAGGGGTCCATGAAGCTAATATATATGTTTAAAAAGTCTAGCCTGTGCGTTAAACAGCGATTTGAAAATGCATTTGGATTTCTATCAAATTAACATTCAGATGTTCAAGAGCAAAGAGTGAAAATGGCAATTATATAATTGCCTTGAGTATACGTCAGCGATTGTTTTCATTAACCTTTTCAAATTCATATCCCCATCTGAATCTTCCATTTTTGTAAGTACTGAAAAACAGTTGGTGAATAATATCCATCAGATAGAGTAATACAGCGATGCTGACAACCTTGTAAAATGACGACTGCTGGAATGCTCCCCAGGGAGTGGAAAATGTGCATACATTGTGTTGCAGGTAAGTCTGAATCCGATGACCGGGGTAATACTATACTAGTATTAGGCGCATTATAAATATGAGCTACGGTATTTTTTATTATTATTAACCTGTCTATGGTAGATGTTAACTTGTTAAAACTATATTATATTATTTTCACAACCATTCTCAACAAGTTCTATACACTTGGGTTCACATGTGCACTGTCTAGAAAATGCTTCATAAGGGAAAAAGATGATGGCCATGTCCCAAAAACAAATTGGCGCATACATAATTAAGATGCGATGAAATGCAAGCATTTTCGAATGGTAAATACATTAATGCGCCCACTGAGACGTGCATCATACTGTTAGACTGCGTTTATGTGAAGTCATGCAATTAAAGCAAATGGCCGCCTCCATAACTGTATGAATCTTGATGATTTGATCAGGTTTGTTACTTATTTCTTGACTTTATGATCATATTGTAGATTCGTTTGAAATAAAAACAAAAAATTCATGTTTGAGAGTACATTAGGGACTATGCACTCGTTCATCTTCCAACTGTGAGTTAACATGATTGTGGTGCACATTCACTAATGCATTCGCAAACATGATTTATTTGTATAAGACCTTATTGGCATAAAAAACTAGGGGTTATTCACACAAATTAACCACAATAAAAGTTTAAAGTGTAAATATGAACTGAGCATGCACTAATAAATAACTTAGTACTTCATACAAAATAATTATCTTCCATCAAGCAAATACACATCTTCAGAAGTGTACAAAACCAAGTTTGCAGATATTGCCAGATCAAATAAATTGAGAAGTGAGATGCGCTCGACAAAATTGAGAGCCTGACCAGTACGACAGGAAACCCCATCACAAACACTCCGATCATCATCTGTCCTTCTCATCAAATATCTTGCATCCGTCCAAAACACATCCAGCATATTGCAGCGAAACACATTACTGCTCCCCCCCCCCCCAACAAGCCATCAGGATGGAGAAGAGACAGTTGCAGATAATATGGTAAAGGAAAGTTAGAGTGACAAAGAAAAAGCAACACATTTTCGTTTGCAGTGTAAATGCAGCTACTTTACATCAGGTCTATCCTCATCAGCTCGAGTTGGCCAAATTGGCAAACTCAGGCTGATGAGGACAGGCCTTTCAAGGTAACGCCCTTCAGCTGAATTACGGTTCGAGAGGATGGTTATCCAGGCAGGGTTAATTTTTCAAGAAGATAGATCTCGGCCTGGGAGAGAGGGGAGGGGGGATGTTCTGAAGTGTGAATGTGCCAGGCAGGGTCATTCTGACAAGGTTTTATTAGGCTCGTTATTCCTAATTTACACTCTGGAATTGATTGGCGACATCAATCAAGTCTACAGATGCATATTGCAGGGAAGTCCAATATGGCCATGGCTAAAAAGAAATAAGGTGCTTTATTACTATCTAAAGCTGAAACCCACATGACATAATTCAAAATCAGCCTATTCTTGTTTTCAAAAGCTGGTATCTCTTTGGAGTCATTCAAGGGCAGATAGTCAAAGTACAGTATCGATTATTGAGTTATCTTATTGAGTTATCTTATTGAGTTTTCCACAATTACCGGTATGTATTTTATCATTTGAAAAAATGACTTTTCACAATGTTTCACGTTTTTGAATATGGATTAAACCTTTAATCCCTTTAATAGACAAAGCATTACCGGAAATTAGTTTCTCATTTAGCAGAATCAAAGCTTTTTTTTCTTCAATTCTTTCGCTGAGCAAAATCTGTCCCATGTCACTATTCCATTTTCTTTCCAATTTGTTTAATGGCAACTCATAAGAAATTGAGATGACTAAATAGCCATTAGTGTGTAATCAATGTCAGATGCATTTCCACTTCTCATCAATTGCTAATGACAGAGAGCAGGTTGATATTATGGTTGTAAATTATTGATAAAAAGGTGAAGTGGCAATATTCTGTATTCACCTTGATTTCTTGCTAATACTAAGTATTTACAAGGTATCTCTCCTAAAATTGACAAAGTGCTGGCTAATTAACAAAAAATATATATGAAAAGATGAAGAAAGAAAAAAGCATTTAATAGGCTTCTGCAGGAATCAGTAAACTGGAATTCAGAATGTGTCATGGATAGCACAAACAAGTGATCTAAGTGCAATGCTCATTAAAGATGTTTATTAATTAGTGATGACATTTGTGAAATAGTCTTTTGGGTACACTTTTTACTTCTTACATGTGCAAATCTATCTAGACCTATCTTTCGCTCAGCCGACTCTCCTCTCCTCTGTCTTGAAATTGAAGATAGCTATTACTGTAGTTTGAGATAATTATACTACTACTGCTGAGCGCTACTGATACTAATTCTCTTTTTGATACTACTAATACTAATAATTACACCTGGGGGGTGTTTCACAAAGATCCTAAGTTGAACTTATCTCTAAGTTGGACTTAAAAAATATGGAAAGCCATTAGCATCTTTGAAAATATTTTGTAAAAGTTATTTTGAAAGGCATTCATTGTTTATTGAAATCATTCATATTTTCTATCATCAAGGAGATTTCATGTTCTGGATGTGGAATTAATAAAAAGTCTAAATTACTTGAATTTCTGCTTTTGAATATATTTCATTTAAAGACTCCAATGGCTGTCCATAATGTTTAAGTCCAACTTAGAGTTAAGTTCTACTTAGGATCTTTGTGAAACACCCCCCAGGTTGGAGAGTGGCAAATGTGGATTGAGGACTTTAATATCAGAAATTGTCAGACAGGCTGAGATTAGAACCCTCAACCCTGAGACTGAGAGTCCAGTGCGTAAACCACCAAACCACAATAAACTCCTGAGAATCTATCTTTGCTATTCATCAACCAAACTCAAAGATGTCTGCCTCATCTGACAATGCTTTAAGAGGCCTCACTCAGGCTCCATAGGGTCTTTAGCAGCTGTTGATTTTTGCTGATTATTTCCATGAAAATATGTGTGTATATATCGTAAACCGTAATCCTTAGACATGCTGAAAAGGTCAATGTCAAAAACAGTCTCGTACTAGTGGCCTGTTTCCACTGCTTTCAAATATACAATGCAATGGTTGGTTGGTGGAGTCGTGGCAAAGTTGAGAATGAATGGCATTTCAAAATTTGCTCAAAATGTATAAAACACGATCTACTCAAGGGCAATTTTAATGCACTATAGTATGTCTGCTAGAAGTAGAATGTCATTGCAATGTTCACACATTTCAAAAGGTTATGTACAAGACCATGGAAAGAGCCTCGGTTTGATTTTTGAAAGTATTGGCGATTGTGTTATTAGTACAAGTATTGATTTAAACTTAAATGAATCTTAATTTTGGAGGAACAATTCATCCCTATTTTGAAAATAGGAACAAATTGTCTTCCTCATGA